TGTGAAGTTCTTTAAATGCCATGTGGAGGAGCTTATATCTGATCCTAAAGATCATGGAGATTTTATGGAGTACAGTAGTGACATAGTCAGACTTACACTTCAGGAAAAATCATTTTCACAGCTGTGTGAAGAATGGATTAGAAAAAGGAAACACCTAGGGCAATGAAACCAAAAAAAAGGCTACTGCAATAGTCCAGTAGAGAGGCAATAAGGTCGTGGACTACAGTGAAGGATGTGTGAATAGAGGACAGATACAAGAGATGTTATGGAGGTTGAATTAACAATATTTAACAAATGACTACATAGTGAAGGATAACACTAAGATAGTGAACTTGGGTAACTGGAAAAATGAATGAATGAATGGATAGTTACACATTAAGCACTTACTATGAGCCAGGCACTGTGCTAAGCACAAAATGGTGGTACCCTCAACACAAACAGGGAAACTCAGAAAGAGAAGTTAGTTGATATTAAAAATAACGAATTCTGTTTTGGACATGTTAAATTTGAGATGTCCATATGAAATCCAGCTCAAAATCACCAGTAGGCCAGCTAGCGATGAGAGATTAGAGCTCAAGGGAGAAACTGGGACTGGAGATTTGTGAGTTTATCATTGTAGAAATAATTAAACCCTAAAGACATCATCAAGAGAGAACACCAGACAAGAGGGCCAAGGACAAAGCTTTGTCCACAGTTAGGGGGCAAGAGATGAAGAACCAACAAAAGAAACTGAGAAGGAGCAGTTAGGAGCAGAAAAGTCAAAAGACAGCAGTGTCATGAAAACCCAGAGAAAGAAAGAGTATTCATAAGGAAAGCAGTATCAATGGTGTCAAATGACACAGAGAGATCAAGAAGGATGAAAAGTGAGAAAAGAGGGGCAGCTAGATGGCTCAGTGGATAGAGCACTGTCCTTGGATTCAGGAAGACCTGAGTTCAAATCTGGCCTCAGACACTTGACACTTACTAGCTGTGTGACCCTAGGCAAGTCACTTCACTCCATTGCCTCACTTAAAAAAAAAAGTGAGAAAAGGCTATCTGGGGCTTTGGCATTTAAGAGATCGTTGGTCACTTTTGGAGAGGGCAGTTTCAGTTGACTCATGAAGTTGGAATCCAGATTGTATAGGACGAAGAAGTACGTAAAGGGGGAGGAAGAGGAGGCAAGGAGGGTAGACAGTTTTTCCTAGGTGTCTGGCTAAGAAAAATAAGAATAGGAACTATACTTGTGATTTCACTAGCATAGGATACTCCCGGATGAAAGACAGTGCATGTTAGAGAGGCAGGACTGAAATCCAGGTTTGCCCAGCTTCAATGCCAGGTCTCTTATCCATCACACCACACTGCCTTTCAGTTTAACGAAGCTTTTTTTTTTTAAGGATAGGAGATTCTTCAAGCAGTACTCAGCAAAACCAGAGGGCCTAAATAATCCTATTCTGAAAAGAGCCCACTATGCAAATTGTGACAAAGACAAGGCCTTTGAGTGAAAATCTAATGCCTAGACACCTTGTACAAGATGATGTAGTGTTGAAAAGAAAAAAAAAAAGCAGTGCAATAGACTGTATTAAGAGTTCTGATTTTGCTCTGTCATTTATTTGCTATATGGCTATGGGCAAATTAACATCTTACTTTATTGATTTCTTTAGGGATAAAATGGGGAGAATACCTCATAAACCTGAGTTTTTACTCAAGTATCAAAACTCTAGCTCTATAGATTACAATATGAATATTCAATTGGAAAGACTTGGAGCATGACAAAAATCAGACCAACTCAAAAAACAGTCCTTAAGATAGACTTTCTCAATCCATTTTTTAAAGCTGCAAACCTCAGAACTAAATTTCCCCCAGATCTAACAAGATTCTTTGTCACTTCTCTGGCTACTGTATTTACATGGTACCAAAAAGAAGCAAAAAACTGACAATGCTTTCTGGTGTGCTTCAGGACAATTCTTGGCAGTGGCTAAAAACAATAACAAGATAACAGGAAATGTTGATGAAGACAGAGACTCTTAAGATACTTAAGGACCTCTAACATATTTATAACTCAATTTAAATTTACAAACCATCAAAGCAAATTTGGATTTTTAATAAGCCTACAAAAGTTAAAGCAAAAAGCAAAGCCAAGAGCATCTCTAGAAGACTTCTGAGGAACTATTTTAGCCATATTTGTAATAGTCATAGATATGTATGAAGTCTTAAGCTTAACCTGAATTTTACTGTATCAAAACCTGACAGCACACCCCTCCTTGACCATCTCTGTCACCAGTCTTTTTCATTCCAATTTAATCTGTATACAAACTGCCAAAATCTCAAAAGGCTTTTTTATATCATGTCACTACCCTAATCCAGAACCTATGGTTACGTCCAATCACCTATTAATATTAAAACCTAACTTTCTCAGTCTACCCACTCCCCTCCCCCATCCCCCACATACACATAACACTGCCACCCCCTGGTGACACACACCTGTAACACCCGCATCTGAGGCTGGAGGTCACAGTTCTACAGAGGTGGCATTTCTGAACTTAGGCTTAGCAGGTCTGAGCAGTATATGGGCTAAAGCCAAGCAAGTGCCTGCACAAAGTCTGACACAAATATGATGAACCTCTGAATGGGGAATATGGAGGCTGGGCCAGGCTGCCCAAAACAGGGTGAAACAGCTCAGGTCAGAAACAGAGGAGGTCAAAGGTTCCCCATGCCAATTAGCATAGAGTTGGGATCATGAATGGCCACTTCACTTCCAAGCTGGGTGAGAGAGGAAAAACTAGTCTCAAAAAGAAAATAAAATTAGGAATGGAATTTATATTCCACCAACTATGTGCACCAAGACTTGAGTCAAGCACCATCTCCTCCAATAAGCCTTTCTTGCAGATTACATGCGACCTTGGGCAAGTCACTTTATTTCTCTAAGCTCAGTTTCTTCATCTATAAATGAAGGTATTAAACCAGATCTTCTCTAAGGTCCTTTCCAACACCAACATTCCATGACTCTATTAATTTTAGTATTTTAGCATTAGTCATACAGATTCCTTAGCACCTATAAAGTAGTTATACATTATCTTTTAACTGAAAAGTATAATTAAAGGGTTAAAGTTACATCTGTTATTGTTGCTTTCAAACAATTTTATGTTTTTAAATGGAAAACATCTAGTTTTCAAGTTGGCATTTTGATTGAATCAAATGGGTTTTTACAGTTTTTTTTTAAAACAGTTAAGTATAGTGAGATCTTGGATTCTCTACACCTAACTGCTTAGTTGTAAAGATGTAATGGGCTATAAAATACCAGTTGAAAAAACACACCAAAAAAGCTGGACTGTCAGTACATGCACGTACACATACACACACACACACACACACAAAATGTAGTGTACGTATGTTTATATAGGGATGTGTGTGTAAAATTTGGATACTCTCAATAAAAAATGAAGAGGGCTCAGAAATGAAAAGAAGAAAGAAAAAAGGCTAGACTGCATTTGTGAAATTGTGCAGTTTTTAATAACTTTAAGGTTCTCCCTGAAACAAAGCCCCATCTTTTTAATACCAATATTCTTCCAGTGATGATATGCACCTAAATAACATACAATGCCATATTCTCTTAAGATTCAAAGTTGCAAGTCACCCAAAAGGCCACAGAGGGATTGACAGTGGGTGTGAATACTCTATAATATATTACCAACAAAGAACTGCACAGAAAAAGCAACACAAAAGATATTATCTGAGAAACATATAACTAGAAAAAGAGATGTGCCAGTCAAGTATCAACAGTAATTCATGATCAATGCAGAAGCTGTTTGCTCCACTGGTGCCTACACAATGTAAAAAAATTTAAAGGAAAGCCCCTAACATGCTAGGCGTAGCCTTTATGGAGGACCCACAGGAGGGGATGTACAAGAGTTGCACAGAATTAGAAGATATTGATGGGTTCTAATTTGTACCCCCAGAGGCAGCACTTACAATAACATTAGAGAACCACTGAAGAAGTAGCCATCAAAGTACCAATAAAATTATAAGATCATCATGTATTTGCAAGGGGCTCTGAAAGGAAACCAGGCAGATCATACATAGTAACAGAAAATCATAAGATTAAACAGTTAGTGATGATATAATTCCTTACAGAGTGATAAAGATAAGCCCATGGCAATCAATCACTTCCAAATCCAATCACCTTCAAATCAAGGAGTATTTCTACCATTCCAACAAAAATGCCAAGCCTAGCCTGGCCTATGGGGGTTCAGAAAAAAAGGACTAAGATCTCAAGAACACCCTAAGAAAAGTGATAATGAATGTGAATCTGAATAATAAGAACCAAACAGACCTATTAAAAGAAAGGTACAAAGATTTACATTTATCTTTGAAATGGAAATTCACCTAAAAAAGGAAAATATACCAGCATACACAACTTCTTCCTTTTTTATAATGCCACAGCTAAGACATGGCTAGCATACTTTCTACATGGAGGTTTCAGCTTCATTCACTTAAAAAGAAAACCAAACTGCTTGCAGACTCCAAAAAGAGCAACCTTGTAACTTGTTTGGATTACTTTAAAAATGTTACATAATAATTATTATGTATAGTATATGCTTGAATTGCAACCAGTGCACTGCACTACTCATTACAAGAAAAAGTAAAAACTTAAGAAAAAAATGCTCTTCCTAATAATGCTCAGAGAGCTAATACAGGCTAATGCTGGCTTCAAAAAAACCAGAGTACTTAGGTGAGCTGGGAGCTCTGATACTGTCTTCAATACTGATTTAGCATATAGTCATGGGCAAGTTCCTATGCTACTCTACTAATTTCAATAGAGACAAAATAAGGAGGAAAAAAGTTCACTATCTTTTATACAACCCAGTGTGGAACATCTGAAGCACCGTAACGCATTATGAAAATGTGCTGTGCTTAATAAGCAAAAGGACAAAAAAAGCATGCCTATCATGTGAAACCCCATTTGAGCTAAACCCAACTGCCAGCATGAGGTGGAAAACAAGCTGCAAAATTGAAATACTTACTTGAGAAGGGCTGGTGGTTCAACTGGAACATCAGCAACAGCTATTGCTGGAGGTTCTGCCTCTGCAGAGCTGTGACCTGCCTCCCGCTCACCCCCAGGAGGTGCAGGGGGCTTCGCCCTCTTTGTTTCCTGATGCCCAGCAGCTCCTGAAGAAGGCTCACACTCCACGGCAGAGTCAATCTCCACCTCCTGGGCTGGGGCTGGCACTTTTTTAGCAGTTGCCACTGCCACAGCCTCCTCCTCTTCCTTTCTTCTCATTTTCTCTTCGAGTTCCTTTCTTCTCCTCTCATCGTCTTGACGAGCCATGTACTCAAAGTTTTTGAAGACCTAAAGTCAAAAGAATAATATAATCAATCCAACTATCCAGTACAGTACCATATATCCTCTGTCTTGGGTTAGAACGCATTAAGTTCAGTATCAAAATGCAACAGAGACAACAGAGATCACAAGTATCACCTTTAATTTACTCTATGCTCAAAAGTCAGTCTTCTTACCCTATGCCAAGGCTGCTTTTTCTGCTAAATGGGAGATGTACTTGCCTTGGCACCTCACCAAACTACTGTACAAACCAGCACAAACAATATCAGCACCAGGTCTTAAATTTACCAAGCACTAAGTGCCTCTCACTTCTTCAACAACAGAAGAAAAATGATACATGGGTCCTGCCCTCAGACGACTTAGCATCTCATTGGGCTGTAAGGTGATATAGCCTGCCTGTACAAGTAACCACAGCACCAGGTAATTATGGTAAAGTAAAAGGAGATACTCGGACAAAGTGCTCTAAGAAACTACGGGCAAAGGGATCACTTTCATCTGAGGTAGGAATCAGAGAAAGCTATATGGTTGAAGTGACACCTAAGCTAGGCCTTGTAAATAAGATTTCAACAGGTAATACAAAAAGAATACATTTCTACAACCCACCAAAAGTCACCCAAAGCTCAGTACGTCATCATCCTTTTAAATGCCTAGCATTTTATCAATATACCTTTCTTTTTATTGAATACTAATTTAAATAACTGATAGAAAAAAAACCATGTTATCATTGCTTACTAAACAAATACATAAAATATAAAAAATCTAAAGCAACAGTTACTCCTACATTTTAGAGACACTTATCAATTTAGTCAGATTAAATGCCAGACAGGAAATCAGTTGAATTTTAATCCCCAGGGGATACTGTTTTGTTTACTATGCCGCTGCTCACAGACAAAAGTATGTATTGTTGCTTTCTTTGACATATTGGATGGGGACAGGGGGAGAAAAAAACTAATTTTAGATGAGCTATATCAATTAGCCAGTCTAAAGCAACAATAAAAGTACAAGAGAGAAGTAGAAGTTATTTAACCAACAAAAAAAGACTCATCAAGTAAGAGGAAAAGAATAACAATAGTAAAAGGGCAAAGCAAAAATGAGTTTAAAAAAAACTTATAGGCAGAGAAACAAAACCCTTAATTTCAGAACCAGAAACCATAAATAGCTTTGTTTCTACATTCCTAGATATCCTGAGTAGCCTTCCCTTCCATTTCTACTGCACATCATGAAAGCAAGAGCATCATGACACCCTGTACCAGATACTGCTCGACTTCTCTCTAATCTGTCATCATTCATATATCTCACCACATGTGGGATACCTCCATTATTTCAGTACCCATTCTAGCCTCAATAATAATGGCATCTTATATCTGTATAGCACTTCATAGTATATCAAGCATTTTCACCTGTTATTTGATTCAATGTTAAGCATCTATTAGTTTCCTACCCTACGATTCTTGTAAAACATTCTCTATGAAGTCACTAATGACTGAGGTTCTATTAGTTCCTTTTGTTTTTGTATCAGTCATTTCCAGACATACCCTTATCTTAACCCTTCTCACATCTGGAGCCTTCCTTAGTAACAAAAGGGAAAAAACCAGCAAAGCAAAATGTCAGTCTAACAGCATCTGCAACATTCCATACCCATAGTGTCCCACTTCTCCAAAGAAGGAGGTACACATCCTCGTATTTTCTTTGGAGCCAAGATTAGTCATAATTACACAGCATTCAACTTCATTTAACTCACGATTTCCTATTAACCAAATTCAAAGCACTTTGCCTTCTGCACTATTACATTACAACTACTCCTCACTTCTTCCTTTGGTTTCTACAACCCTGTATATTCCTGGCTCTTCTATAACTTGACTTCTCAATTTCCTTTGCTGGCTCTTCCTCATTCTCCTGACCCCTAACTGTGGTTGCTCCCAAAGAATCTATATTCTCCTCTCTCTACATATACTCCCACTGAAGTAAGTTTCATGCAGGAAGGTATTATCTTTTTATTTTAAATCAACCACAGCACCTAGTATGGTATGATACCTATACACAGGTACATATCAATACATAGTTACTGAGATCACAATGACTCTTATCTATAGAGAAAACCTTAAAACTCCACCCTGAGCTCCATTCCACCATTTCCAGTCCAGTCTGTTGGGCATTTCTTCCTGGATGCCCTTGCCAGAGCCTCAAATTAATCATATTTCCCCCAAGTCAAGTCACCCTTTTTGTTAATCCTACCCCCTTTCTTCTACTCAACCTGATTTAAAATCTTGGATTCAAGTTTTACTCCTTAGGCAGGTAGGTGGTACAGTAGTCAGGACAGACCTGAGAACAAATCCAGCCCCAGACACTTCCTGGATGTGTGAACCTCTTTTAGTCTCAGTTTCCTCAATTGCAACATGGGGATAATAACTGTACAATGAGGATAATAATAATCCCACGCTTGTTGTGAGGGTCAATTGAGATATTTATAAAATACTTAGCGCAGTGCCTAACATATAATGTATAGGAACTTAATAACTTTTTTTCCTGCCTTCATTCCTTCCTTCCTTCCTCCCACCAAATCAGCTACCAAGTCACAACTTCCATCAAATTTAGCTATCATATAATCGTAGATTTAGAGTTAGATGGGATCACAAAAATCACTGCATCCAATGATTACCTCTCATACATGAGGAAATCAACGTCCAGAGGTAGAGTGATTAGTTCAAGTCATCCAAGTAATAAGCGTCAGAGACGGAATCTGATCCCAATCCCAGTCTGTCCTCCCATTCTTTTACAAACCCTAAAACACTCCCCAGCAAGGTAAGAAAACATCAGTCTTGGAGTCAGAAAGCTTTGCTCAAGTCCTGACTCTCAGTGGTCTTGATGAGTCATTTCACTTAAATTTTCTCATTTGTAAACTATGAACCTGGACTAGAAAGCTCAGATCGCTTCTTAACTTCTTAGAGCTAGCATTCTGTTACTCCTCTTAGTTGACAACCATTACTACAAACTGGGCCTCAACATCTCACACCTAAACCTATCTAGAAAATAGCCCACCTCTTCTTCCTGACACGTCCTCTACTCTTTCCAATTCATCCTGCATACCAGATTATTCTTCCTAAAACATTGCTGTAATCATATAGATAACTTCCCTAATCAAAGTCCTTCAATGGCTCCCCACTATCAAATAAAGTTCAAACTCTTTACTTGGTATTGAAGGCCTCCCACAACCTGGTCTCAACCCACTCTGCTTTCCAGCTTTACATTTCAACAAATTCAATAAACATTTATTAAGTGCCTGTTGCATACAGAGCATTTTGTTAGCTTGCTTGCTTGTTGCTGCTGCTTGCTGTTTGTCTTTGACATCAGGGAAGTGATACCTTGACATGCAAGTGAATTGGATTTGAGTGGGAGAGGACTGTGCAAAGTCACCAGCCTTACTTTCTCCTCCAGAGCCGTCAGGGTCCAGTGGTCAATACAGATCAGGATGACTGGAGATGGCCTAGGATGCAGTAGGGGACCTAGGCCTTTTCAAGCTAAGGTTTTTAACAGGCCTCAGTTTGACTGAGGCAATGATTATTCACCGACTAAGACTTAATAAAAAATGAGGCAAAGTATGGCCTCTTAAAAAAAAAAAAAAGATCTGGGAGGGGAAGACTCTCAGGATTTCTGGCCAAAACACAAATAACTTCTATTTCCATTCACTCTGAGCTAATCAGGGCCCAATGACCAAGTAGGGCTTGGCCTGGGACTGACCTACCATCCATTCTTCTTTCCTTCCTTCCTTCCTTTCATTCTTTCTTTCTCTCTCCCTCTCTCTTTCTTTCTTCTTTCCGTCCATCCACATAGGGTATCACACCCTGAAGGCACTCTGCCCAAAGGGAATATAAATTTTTAATCTCTGAAACTTTTTTTTCTTTTCTCTTAAAGACGAGCCTTAACCTCAAATCACTGGCCCTCCAAATATTTCGAGCTCTCGTTGAATGGCCAATAATAGGTCCTACTGCCTCATTCCTTATTTAGTCTTAATCAGTGAATAGGCATTGCCTCAGTCAAACTGAGGCCTGTTAAAAACCTTAGCTTGAAAAGGACAAGGTTCCCCCATTGTACCCTGAGCCATCTCCAGTTGTCCTGATCTATATCTGGCCACTGGACCCAGATGGCTCTGGAAGTGACTTTGCACAACCCTCCCTGACTCAAATCCAATTCATTTGCATGTCATGGCATCACCTCCCTGATGTCATGGTCCTCGTCGAGAAAGAAGGACAAACAGCAATTTTGCTAGATGCTGGGGGGAATAAAAGATTTAAATCAATGTCTCTGCCTTGATGGAGAGCACTAAGTCTTCAATTTAGCAAGCACTAAGTGCCTACTATATGTGTTCCTCTCACTCACATACCAGTTCCTCCAGGAAAGCTTTTTTGATTCTCTCTTACCTTACCTTCACCTCCCTCCCCTTTCCAGACCTTTTCCCCCTTGTATCTCACACAGTACTTTGCATTTATAATGTAAACATGACACAAAACTATATACATTATACGTTAACTAGCCTAAAAGAACAGCAAAAGCCCAAGAAAAAAATAGAAGAAATGATCTGGCCAGCTATAAAGAACTCACTGAAAGGAATACAAGTAGTAAAAGAACAAAGCAGAAAAAAAGAGGACAAAAAAATTATAGGCAAATTATAATCTAGTAAAAGAGCATACCACAAACAACTATAATACAAACTATATTATACTTGCAAAGTGCTATGTGTGACCAAGGCAAAAAGGTAAAGAGAGGGGACTAATAGAAGGAATTAGAAAACAGTTCCCTGACTTTAAAAGATAAGTAGGAATTCAACAAATGGAGTGAACATTCCAGGCATAAGGAACAGTGTGAGCAAAGACACATAGAAGGGAGAAGTAAAGGATACCTATAGATGATTGTATATAGTCTCCTTTGGCTGAAGAATAGAAAAAATGAAAGGGAGACAAGCTGGTAATATAGTAGGGCACCTGTATAGGATCTTAATACCAAGCTAGAGA